CTGAAGAAGTCTCTTGGAGGAGAGACGAAACGTTTCATTAGAGAAGAACCCGTCCAGAGGACCTACACATTTTTTTTTCTTTTTAATACCACCTATTATTCTATTTATTGATTGGAAATAAAGGAATAGATTCAAGCTCCTCTTATTCACAACATCACTTCAGTTCATTGATTTTTGTAGGATTTTGCTCATTGACTAGCATTTTTAAATCTCTTATCATTTCGGTGTGGTTTCTGCCTGAGTTTTGACTTGGTAGATTGCAAAGCTTTGGTTCAGCCATTTTATTTTTCAGTTGTTTGCTAATTACACGTTTGTCTATAAACGGCACAATTCAATTCGGTCCAAGTTTTAGTTGTGGGACAGATGGCCTCAAATTTAACTCCAGAATACATTTATAGAGGAGCTCATAGTTTGCAACAAAGCCTGGCTTTTACCCGGCTCAGCAATACATCAAATATCCCTTTGTAATAATGGTTCCGACTCTATTTCTCAAAGTGGTGGTTATCTTTACAATTTTTAACTCAAATTTTCATGTTTAAGTTCTGTCTGCATTTACAAGAAAGTACTTGAATCATAATTTTTTTGTATTTTTGCACAAACTACATCAAATTTCTCAAGGCTTAATTTAGAAAAAAACACCACTTCTCCTAAATGAAGAGCTTTAAGAACATAAAAGTCATTAAACATGTTTGCTAAAGTTAAAATGAGAGCGGAATCCTCAGAGACAATTGTCAGCTGTGCAAATATCAAATCACATTTCTGGGGTTTAAGTGGTGACAACTCATTAGAAAGCTTTTTAACTTGTTTATTTCATTCTTTTAATATATATTCTATTCTAATTCTGTCTTACATTAACTAGTAAATCACCACATTGACCTAGTTTGAATAAAGTTTAAATGCATATTTTCTAAAATACACCACATTACAACATTTTTTTTCTAATTTGAGCAGTTTGTGTATTTTATGTTTGTTTTTTTTTTTGTTTTGTTTTTTTGCAAATTTAGACTAAACTATATTTAACATTTGCAGCACATCCTGGTTCACAAACTGAATGTGTGGTTCCCATGGTAACTTTTTGCATATTTTTTGTTTCCTTTATTTTTAAACTGATCATCTAGATCAGCAGGATATATTTAACCTGTAGTGTATGTGTCCATGTCTGGATATGTGCACACATGTAAAATAGTATCTTAAATGACCAATCACAATCAAGGATGTGGAATTTAATTACTAAACATCAGAAAGTAATAACAATTTAGAAATAATAAAACTAAATAATAAAAAAGTGAAAGTAAAGCAGATCTAGGACAAAAACTGATATAAATGGACGTCTATCATGCGATTTTATGCATTTTTAAACTATTATCCAAACCACATGCTGTGCGCTTTTATGAGATTAGAACTGGGACATATTTGGTTTAGTGTTAACTTGGGTTGAGGAAGTAATGTTAGTTTAAAGTTGTAAAAAGTTAACAAAAATGAGCTTCAGTGTTCGGTCTCTGGCTCCATAATCATTCCTCTAAGAAATCACTGATGAAGATTTTGTTTTTGTTTTTTTTTTTTCCATTGGAAGTCAAACTGATCTGTTTAATTCTGAGAGTCTCAGAATGAAACAGATCAGTTTGACTTCTAAATGTCAGCCTATTTTTTGCTCAGTTT